CTTCTTTAGTTTGACTGAAGACTAAGATATCGTTGATGTAAACACAATAGAATTTTGAGTGTTTATTAAATATAGTATCCATTTTACGCTGAAATTCTTGTGGCGCATTTTTTAATCCAAAGTGCATAACAAACCACTCATAATGTCCTTCAGGACATGTGAACGCTGTCCATTCAATGGATTCATTAGCCATCCGGAGTGCCAAAATCCTGATTTACAGTCAAATTTGGAAAACCATTTTCTATCTTGGATTCGATTTATTAAAACATCTTTATTAGGGATTTTATAACTATCATCGTAGGTATTATCATTTAATCTTTTATAATTTATAACCATACGAGCCTTTCCTCTTTTTATTTTGACATGATTTCTAACTATAAAAGTTGGACTCCTATGTCTATTATTACTTTTTCTTATTACTTTTAGTAATAGCAGTTTCTTAATTTGTTTTTGGAATTCTTCTTGATCGTCTAAGGTATGAGGATTATCTTGTGTCTTTATAGTTATAAAAGGATTGATTATATTTAATTTTGCTTCAATTTTATTTTTATACCAGTGTTTATGGGGTCTTCACCTAAAATTTTTATGGTTTCAACTAATCTTATAAGATTATCAATGTTTAATTTGGGGTTTTTTAATATAACTTTATTATTAAGGAAAATCTTTGGTTCATCTAGATGACTGAGAAATATTAAGGCGTCAGAAACGTTTTCTAAAAATTCGGATACATCGAATAAATTTTTCGTCGTTTCTTCTGTCATAGGTAAAGTATTAACATATGTAATGACTCCTTTTTCTTTTTGAGAAATATAAGGATCTCTAGATGGAATAAAAGTTCATTTCTTAAAAAATTGTAAACCTGTAGGGGTATACATAAATCATCCGGTAAGTGAATTTATAAAATTTAATCCTAAGATAAAATCATAGGTGCTAGGAATATTATTAACTACATAAGTCTGGGGTAAAACAAACTTTTCATTATTAATTAATATAGGAATGTTTTGAACAACACAATGGGTTATTGGAAGTTTTTCATTATTATACTGGCTTATGTTAACATTATAATTTAACTTTACTAAGGCTTCGTTTGGGACCAAATGTTTTTGAATTATACTTTTAGATGCTCTAGTATCAAGCATAGCTGATGTTTGAACTAATTTTTCTCTAAATTCTAATGTTACTGGGAATTGAATTAGACTAGATGGTTTATATATTGAATTTATAGATTCAACTAAAATATCTTCTTACTTATCTTCATATTTTGTATAGCAATTATGACATAATAAAGTTTTACAATGGTTTTCACAGTAATGACCTTTTTTAATAGATGTATTACATTATTTACAATTATAAGAAGAAAATTAAAAACTAAGTTATACTGACATGAGGGATTACTTATAGTGTGAACGAACTCTTCTATTGAATGAAGCCCTTGTTCAAAGTCTTCATCATTATCAAAATTGTTATCTACGCTCTCGATACTATATATACTTTCATTATCATCGTCAAAGTCATAAATACTTTTTAGTTCATATAATTCTTCTATCTGTTCTTCAATATCTTCAAGTATGTTAATATTTTCTTGTATCCTTTTAATAGGATTCTGTTTGTATCGATGAGGGCAATTTGGTCTAATGTGTCCTGGATCTCCACAAATAAAACATTTACAGTGTCTTTCTTTTGTGGGTAAAGTGTTTACCTTATTATCGTTGTCTTTGTTGTCTTTTTTATCTTTCTTTATCTTTTGCTTTTTATACCAAGGCCGCTTTCTGAATTGCCTAGGGTTAGTTCTGACATAAGGTTTTTTATTACGAAAGTTCTTGTAGGTTTTGCTTTTACGCAGATTATATTTTTTAGGTTTATTATGCTTATAATTGTAATTTTTCTGAGGCATACACCCATACTAGGGTGGAAAATCTATTTGTCTACACGTATAATAAAATTATTTTTTGATTTGTTTAGACTCTTTACGTTGTCGACATTCTGCTTTTAACATGTTATACACATGATTAACTCTATCTCCTATGGTTAGCGTATCGCGTCTAGGGTTTTCTAACCATTTTTCCCATATTTTAGTTCCTACACTTCCGGGTAACTTCTGAAGATATCGATCAAGTAATGTTTTATCATCTGTTTTACCAGTGGCTGCAAAATACTCAAAAAACTTATTGGTATAGTTTTTTATGTATCTAAAATCACAAATCTGTAGTAATTCTAAATTACGTAAAGCTTCGTTTTGTTTTATTAAGGTGTCATCTAATAATCTATCTTCACCAACTAATACTTTTTTAATGAGGCTGGTAAAGCCTTGAATGGTAAAATTATCACGTAAGATGGCATAGTCATTGGGATAAATTACTTTATAAGCCTACCACCAGTCATGAATGGTTTCTCTTAGTAGGGTTTCACAATAGGTTAAGGCTTGAGTTCTATTGTCAAAATTGGTTAGAATAGATTGCCGAATACAATCTTATTCCCAATTTTAGATTACCTTTGCCTAGTCTTGGGGATCGTGCCTTGCTATGTCTAATATTGTTCCTGATGGTTGTGCTGATATATTTTCATATTGTCGACGATATTGTGTTAAGGTGTACATGTCTGGTATATTTCTATTTTCGACATAAGTTTCATGTGAGGGATTTAATCTTTGTCCAGTAGTAAAGTCATCACTTAGGGTATTACTACCTGAGGTGTTAGTCTTTCTTTGGTCACTCATTTCTTGGTCAATTGACTGAGTGTCTGATACTTCTGGTGTTTTCCCTTCTCTATGCTCTATTACAATTAACTCTTCTTTTACTGTATTTAATTCTAATGTTGTATAGAAGGATTCAAATCCGACACTTAGAATATTTTTCTTAATATCATCATTATTTCCTTGTCCTAAATAAATACTTTCGATAAGTTGGTATTTAGGTTCTGAATACTTGTCTTGCAATGCTTCAAATTCTAAATTATCAAAATCGTACATTATTTTATCTAGAATTTCATCTTCTAATCTATCATAAAGAACATTTATTTCTTCAGGAGATTCTATCTCTATTAGTGTAGTTAAGAAATCTTCTTAAGTATCATTAACTAAATTGTCTTATCTTTTATAAATACTAAACCTTATGCTAGCATCTCCGTTATTTGATACATATATCATATTATTTTTGGGAATCTTTTTAGGTGTAGTAGTAAGTTTAGGTAATTTCCATTCGGTTCCTTCATAGGTAATACTGCTTACTTTTCTGGCTTCTATCATTTGGACATATTTGCTACTAAAAGGTTTAACTATTTCACTAAATTGGGCTTTAAATTTTAAGTTATACTGATTAATTGCCTTTCCCATAAATAAAGTATTAACTAATAAATTTTCAAATTGTCCTGTCATATTATATCCTTTTGTAGATATAGCTATCTTAATATGTGTACTGAATTCTCTAGTAGTCATCGTATAATTGGGAATACATCCTACTATTGCGGCATTGTTGGCTAAGTCTATTTCGGCGCTGGCTATTTGTGCTTGTTGATGGTTATTCCATCGATCATCATAAATATAAGCAAGTACTCTAGTTCCGATTTCTGCTCTGTTTAATCCTACTAATCATATCATTATGACGCCTAAATGCATAAGTTTTAAATTATTATCATTTAGTTCTTGGCATGCTTCGGGTGTTATAAGGTCTAAAATAACTTGATTGTTAACTGCACTTATTTTTCTTTGGCTAAAATGATTATATATCTTGCTCTGAAAATCTAATAAATTATTAGAATAAAGATTAATTTTATTTTTTACCTTCTTCATTCCTTGTTCTATATATTTTTTGGCATCATGTTCATTATCATATAAATCTTCTACTCCCATTATTTCTTTGGCTTTTCTAAGGATAATGGCCATTGTGGTATTTGCTTATGAGGTTGAAGTTGTAATAAATTTACACGCTTGGCTGTTGTAGGAAAGGACTGGTTATTGGTTGACAATTTTATTTCTTTTATTTTATCTGATAATTCAGATAATTCTTTTGAAGATTCTCTGGGAATGCTTTTTTGTATTACTTCTAATTTCTCTTCAAGTTTATTAATTTTATCAGATAACTGGAGTAATAACTAGATTAAAAAGTTATTTTGTCTAATATGTATATTAGTTGACTGTACGTCTGGTTCTTTATCAATTTTGTAAAGTTCAACTAATGTGATTAAATAATCAGGACTACTAGTGCTCATAAAACAATTGTAATAATTTTTGGATATCGGTTTTAAGGGATTAAGAGTCTATGATTATTTTCTGCTTTTCAGCAATATTCTTAATATCACTATTGATATCTTTAATTGCGACTAATATTATTTTGTTATCTAAATTATTTGGACTAGAATTCTGTACTACTTGTTCTTTAATATAATCTAAATTTTCTCCTAATCGTTTTATAGAAGTATCTAAATTATTAAAGTATAGTCTATTCATAAACTAAAATCGTTACTGTCTAAAATATTTTGTATTAATATAATTCTAGATCTAAATTCTTCAATTATTCTTTGTAGATTACGTGTTGTGTCTTCTAATTCTAGCGCTATGTAGCAATTCCTAAGTGCTGTTTGACAAAATTCTAATACCTGAATAAGTTGTTCTTTGGGTAAATTGTGCATAAATTAAACTCCTAGAGGTGAAAATATAAATTTAGCTTAATAAAAGGCTAAAATAGAACTTACTTTATATATTTGTAAATATGTAAACAACGTTTGGTTATGGTTATGGGTAATATACTTATACTAAGACCACTTTACTGTAAAAGTCCGAATAAAAATCAAGTCATATATATATATACACACTGCAAATACATAAGTGCAAGTACATAAGAATTTTAAGAAGAAGAAAAAACAAGTAAAAAAAAAAAACTTAAAAAAAGGAAATTACCGCTTCCATCAGGATTACTTAGCGTGTCGTGCAAGTAGACCCCTACCCCTCCTATAAATACATCTACCCGGGCCCACTTATGGGTAAAATTTTTACCCATTTTTATGTTTTTCGAATCAAGAAAAAAATTGAAAAAACGATCTGTGTTCTAGGGCTCCCGTCAGCTGTCGCTCCTCGAAGGCTCGAAGGCAAAGGAGAAGATTTGGGTTTGTGTTTGTGTTTGTGAGATTAGCTTCAGTTTCATCAGGAGCAGTGCCGAAAAGACTACAAGTAAGTAACTCTTCCAATTTATGGTACTGGGTTCCTTTTCGGCATTTTCCAATCTGAAATTGATTTTTTTTTTTTTCCCTTCTTGATTTCATGTGTTTATGGAAACCTTTATCTCCTTTTTGATCAATTTGAATCTAATTTCATTGGTCTGGTTGATTATAGAATTTTGAAAATTTATGGGACGCTTGAAATAGGAGATTTTCCCCTTACATTACAGGCTTAGAACAAAAAAGGCAGGATAAATTGGATAATCAAGAATTCAATCTTCCGTACAGACTAAACCCTCCATTCTTTTTCTGATTATGAAGATCTCAGCATTGCTAGGATTGCTATTTATATAATTATATGTCCAAGTGTAAATGGTTGTGTTCCAAGTATATAGATATTAAAATCATAAAAACAGTACTGACAATAAGGAAAATTAGGAAGTTTTTTTTTTTTTTTTTTAATATTTAATATTTGCGGTCAATTATTGGATTGAATTGGACTAGAAATCTACAGAGATTGAATCTGAAACAATTTTTATCAACATGCCATACTTTTTGAAGATGGAAATCTTTTCAGAACTACAAAAAAATCATAACAAGAACTTTGACAAGCAAAAGTACTTAATATAGGGTAAAGCTTTAAAGTTACTTCTTGAAAATTAAAATACTTACAAAAAGCATGCTTTTGAGTGAATTCCGTAGTGTTGGAAGGGGCTTGCCAAGAACTACCTCACACTCTGCTTCCACTAGTAGATTCTCAAATAGGATTAGTAAATTGGTCAAAAGAAATAAATTTAAATTGTTACTGAGTGGTGAATTGTTCAGAAATAAATTGGTAATTTTTTTTTATTAATTACCCAAATAGGATTTTCTATGCCTTAATCAGTCAATTGTCTAAAGAAACATTGTTAATTAACTAAAATTGAATTAAACAACAGTTGATTTTGGTTGATATATTTTGATTTAGCCCACCCCATTGAGAAATCCTGGATCCGCCTTTGAGTTCAATATTGCTTTGTTCTTCTCTGTTTGGTGGTGCTTTAAGCCTGAAAAAGCCCCCTCTATGTCTTGTGACCGTTCATTTTAAGACAAAATGTGATTGCTTGGCTGATTTTGGAATGTGTGTTGTGTCCTACAGGCCAAAGATGGAAAATAAATCTGAGGACGCTCCATCAGTAAAGAGTGACTTTGTAGGGATTCATTCATCTGTCATGAGATGTGTAAGTCTAAGTTGCTTATTGGTTATCTGCATGGATAATGTATTTGTTTTATGGAATTCAGAGTTACTTCTGTTGTCTGTGCATAATAATTTATTCAGTTGTGGGTTTTTGTAGCCTGACAATTCAGAATGGTACGATTATGGAGACTATTATGGAGACGATTTATATACTATTCCTGAGGTCCTGCCAGTTCCACTTGTTCAGTGCAGCAACCCAATTCAGGATGCTCCCCCTCTTTCGCTTGTTCAGTGCAACAACCCTTTTCAGGATGCTCCCTGTCTTCCGCTTGTTCAGTGCAAAAACCCTTTTCAGGATGCTCCCCCTCTTAGTGATGCTGATGAGGACAAAAAGATCAAGGCTTTAGTTGATACTCCTGCCTTGGATTGGCAGCAGTGAGTTAATTTCTTGCTTTTGTTGTTGTACCAAATATTGTGATGAAAGGTTTTTTGTCGTTGATGACAGTATACTTTACCTGTTGTATTTCGTCTGATTTTTCAGTCAAGCTTCCAATGGCTTTGGTCCTGGCAGAGGTTTTGGACGGGATATGGCCAGAAGAATGAGGGGTGGACATAGTTCTGGTGATTTTCTTGTACATGTCTCTTTATGTCAATCTTCTATTTATGATGTAATATGTATAACATGATGATTCTCAATGTTCTTCTCTATTGCCTTTGCTGTTCTACTGGTGTTTTTATTTTCTCAAGGTGGTTTCTCTTTTTGGTTGTGTTGATGGAATAGCCATTAAATCAAATCTAGGATTTTTGTTTAGTAATAAATCTTTGCTATTATACTTTCATGTAAATATTTTAGTTAATAATTATGCATTCAATACTAAAATTGTGCTTTGCTTCTTAAGGTGTGTTGGAGCGGAAAACTCCTCCTCAAGGCTACATATGTCACAGATGCAAGGAGCCTGGTACAAAAATGTTTTTTCTGGTTTTGAATTTGACTATGTAGTGAAAATATACCATATTAGGAGGTCCAACAAAAATGTTTTTATTTTTTTATTTTTTTATTCAGGGCATTTTATTCAGCACTGCCCTACCAATGGTGATCATAATTTTGATATCAAAAGAGTGAGACCTCCTACTGGTATTCCAAGGTCTATGTTAATGGAAACCCCAGATGGTTCATATGCATTACCAAGTGGTGCTGTTGCTGTTTTGAAGCCAAATGAGTAAGCTGATTTCTTTCTTTTGCTTTTGCTCTTGTTTTATTCGTATTGTTATAAAGAGACTTGCTTTTGGCTCAGAAAATTTGCTTTAATCATTGTATTTTGTACAGGGCTATTTTTGAAAAAGAAATTGAGGGGCTGCCTTCCTCTCGTTCTATTGTCAATCTTCCACCAGAACTTCACTGTCCACTGTGCAAAGAAGTAATGAAAGATGCTGTGTTGACGAGCAAGTGTTGCTTTAAAAGCTTTTGTGATAAATGTAAGATTTAATACTATTATATGGAAAAATTGTAATAAATGTAAGATTTAATGCTATTATATTTTCCATACATGATACTTTGGGTTCTGATCGTGCAAATTGGCATGTCTACAGTTCCCTACAGTTTTAAATTTTTTTTCAAATTATTTGGATGTTCTCTTTTGTAATATTTTCGAGTGAATTAATGGTTGACTACCATGAGGAATTTTGACCTTACGAATCTTTGCTGTTTGTTGGCACATTTGTAGTGTTTGGATATTCAAATTCTGATGACTAGATTTTTCTCTTCAGGTATAAGAGATCGTGTCATTTCCAAATCAACATGTGTCTGTGGGGCCACAAATATACTTGCAGATGATCTTTTGCCCAACAAAACAGTCAGGGTTACTATCAACCGTATTTTGGAATCCAATAACAGCAGTACAGAAAATACCAGCAGTGCTCGAGGTTGTATTTCAGATATGAAGCCTGCATTCTGTCCACAGCCTAAGATTAAATCCCCTGTGCTGTCGGCCTCAAAGGGAGAGAAAGTGTCACCGACTCAAAACGAGGAAACTCCAAATATTAAGGACACTGCAGAGAAGAGTACAACTGTTGGTGTATCGCTGCAAATTTTGGAGGAAGAGAGGGCTGTTAGAGTCGCAGATGTTTCTAAAGCCATGCCTGAGTCTATTAATCTGAGGGAATCAGGATCAAAGGGGAGTGCCCCATCGGCTGACGAGGAAGTGCATCAGAAGCCAGTTTCTGGTGAGGCAGGTAAACTTGTTTGATACTTGTGATACTTTATAGCTGATTACAGATTCCGGCTTTGTCATAAAATGCTTTTTAAGTATCTGTTCCTTAGACTGAAAATTCCAAGGAATATTGTTCCCTGGTTTTATGTTGTTTTTCCATAGGGAGTCCGATGTGGTACTAGCATGCCAAATTGGACTTTGCACAAGAGACATTTACAACAAATAATCATGTTTTCACATGCAACTTCTTATTTCTTGCTTTCATTTTTCAGGGAATAAAAAGAAAACGAAGAAAACTTGCTTACCTTTTAATGGTACGTTCGTGATTTTTTTTCGATACCTCTTGAGATTTCATGAATAGTTAGGTTCTTTCTGAATGTTTTTTTTTTTTTTTTTTTGGAAAATATAATATGTTCAAATGGTGTGAGGTTTTCTGGTCTTGGTGATTGGACGTCATAACATTCAAGTCTTTGATGTCTTGCAGCTGCAGAGATGCAGTGGGGAACCTCTCAAGATCTTGCTGCCGAGAACTATATGATGTTTGACCATTCCGCCTGTTATAATTCATACTGGACTGGCATGCAAGCTGGAATGGAAGGCTGTGTTGCTCCTTGCGCTTTTGATTCTATGGGCTATGGGTTTAATTCTTTCAATGTTCCATTCTGGGGTGTCTTACCTCCAAATTCATTTGGAGCACATGGTTATATGTTGCCTCTTGTCCCACCTCAGAGGTATGCTTCATAGTTTTTTTAAGATTGTCTTCCCTTCCCTTTCATATAGTCGGCCAAGTGGTAGGACACAACACTAAGCTTTGTCCGTACTTGGTGGCATGCTGTGATTACTGCCAAGTCAACTGCGGTTTAAGGTGGTTATTATAGTTGAAGTCTAGTTGAAAAAGGAAAAACCATGCCTAAATATATATATAGATATTGGAACAAGAAACCATGAACTTGAAAGGCTGTGTAGTTCCATTTTTTTTTTTGTGGAAGTGGATTTAGCGTTCTTTTTCGTGTGTACCAGCTCCATTTGCTTCTTGTTACTTGTTTATGGTTTTAGTTTTTTTGTAACGTAAAAATCTTTTGTTTTGTACAAGTGAATCACTGTTATACTCCTTTTGTTTGATTATAAATTCAATTCCTTCTTCTTTCTTCAGGGATCTGTCCAGAGATTGGGAATTCAGTAGGGAAGTGAGCAGCCATCCTGATGTTCCCTCATTGAAATCAAAACCTGTATGTCCTTTTGTTTCTCAAATTTCCATCTCCTCTCTTTATACATGTATTGTGAGCAGATAAAGGCTCATAGTTAGAAGCGAAAATTGGCAGGAACCATTTGGCCGAATGACAATTAGAATGCTTGCCTACTTCTCCATAATAAATGGAAGAAGAATACTGTATCATTCCTAATTCGGGATTGGATGTAATTATTCGTTTAAAATTGTATTAATTTTTTTTTTCTTTCTGGCTTCATGCTCCAGGAAAAGAGCTTAGAACCTGGAATTTTATAACAGCCAGTTCAATTCTTCTGCAATTTATTATTATTAGTATTATTATTATTATTATTATTATTATTATTATTATTATTATTTCCAAATTTAGCTGTAGAAAAATGGAGTTTAAGGAGGGCTGAATATACAAGAATTTACAACTCAATTAGGATTGCACAACTTAATCAGTTTGTTGATGCCACTTCGGCCTCTCCATTGCAACTGTTACTGCACAAATTACTTTGATTCTTTCCTTCCCATTCTTTCCTATTCTCTCTCCATCATATTGTTCTACTTTTTAGATTTTTATGTTGTAAATGTTTAGATACGTTTGGATACAAGAATATTGTCCAAGAATGTTGCATTACAAAAAAAATAAAATAAATTAGAAACAAATGCTCTGGGTGTGGCCAAGAAAATCGCCCTGAATTCTTCAATTTGATTTGTTCCAGGGGTAGTTTCGTTGTTCGCTGATATACAACTGTCTCTTCATTAAGAACAAAAATATTTCAAATTTTTATACTATGGAATTGGTGGTTTTGAACATGAATTGGAGTAAAAGTAGAAAATCGTGTTTTCAAATGCAATGGCAAATGCAATGGCAAGTAAATTATTTCAAGTCAAGAATAGTAATAATATGTATATCGTAACTTAAATTTCAATGTTAAATTTCAAAATAGTAGATTGATTTCTTTTTCCCTTTTTCTCTTCATGGTGTAGAGCACTATCTCACAAATAAGTGAAGCTAATCATCAAAACCGCCGCCGTAACACCCCACTAGGAATCGCAAGACCACCACCATCAGCAACACCACCCAACTCAAGTGCCAGAGTAGGAAGAGAAGACCACCGAAAGCAACAGACGGTTAGGGTCTTCTCCAACATCAGCTTTGCAAAGGAAGAAGCTTTGGCCTCTAAGAAACGAAAGCTCTTGTCGGATCATCACAGGGCAACTAAAAATGTCGTCTATCACGAAGATCATCATCATCATCACAGGAAGAGTAGTGGTTTTGGTGCTGTAGATTATGGTTCAAGTAGTGATGATGACCGGCATTTCAAGAGAAGACGCTCGTGGAGAGAGTAAAAATGATAGGAGAAGAGATTGACGCCATTGGAGGTGGATACAGAAAACACAGATACATTTAGGATAGTTTTGTCCATTCTCTCTCTATATGTACAATATCACTTCACTCTCTTTGTATTCAAATTTCAGGTTCTATTGTTTATGAAATGCCCCGTGATAGTAGGGGAGAGAACCTTTGTTAGCAGAAGTGTATCTAATAATATTCAAGTTATATTCAAATCTTTATCTCTTTATTCTTGCTTGAAGTTGGTTTGCCAGGCCCCCCCCCCAACCCCCCCCCCCCCCCCCCCCGGTCAAGCTTTGGATTATTCGGTCTCGCTCGTATATGGGCTCATCTCCGGCTCGCATCCAAATTGTGACATTTTAAAAACTTAAGTACGATTTGGACTTGGGTTGAACTCGTGTTTAAAAAATTACCAATGAAACATTTTCAATTAATTTACTCATCAAGTTTACTTGTAAGTAGAGTCTCCTAAAAAGTGTCTTGAGGAACCAACAGTGTGCATGTACAATTTTATAAAAGCGAGTTTACATGAGCTTGTATTAACGAGCCCTTACGAGCTAAGTCCAGTTTGGTTCGAAATGGGTTTCTTTATTTTATTATTATTATCAGTTTTGAACAAAATGGACATCTTCATTTTGTTACCCTTCCATAAAAAAAAAAAAAAATTCACCTTTTTTTCAATAGGCTAAAATTCTTGGCATTAAATGAGCTTCTTAATGACCGACTTAAAATTTAGGTTTAAAGAGTGGAATTTGAACTATGAACATCTTAGTTCATTTGTAACCCAGTACAAACTACACATTTGATGATAAAGCCCCGGCAGCTTCTCTGGTAGGATCCGACTCAGGCATATTTTAATAATATGGAATTTCTGTTTTGGAGATGAATTGGAGTAAAGTAGAAAATAGTTTTTCTCCAATTCAAAATCCTCATCTCCACTTTCATGCTCTCACATACAATGGCAAGTAAATTATTTAAAGTTCAGAATAGTAATAATCTCGCCTAAAAATTAAATTTAAATGTTAAATTTCAAACTAGTTGAGTCTAACTCGATTGATTTCTCTTTTCTTTTTTTTTTTCTCTTGATGGAGTAGAGCATTATCTCACAAACAATCAGAGCTGATCATTACAGCCTCTGCCGTAACACCCCACTAGGAACCGCGAGACCACCATCTCTAGCAAAATTAGTGTGTATTAATGAAACTTGATCGTAAAACAACATACATAAACTCCATTTATGTACACGATGAAATTTGATCGTAAAACAACATACATTGCTAGCAAAATTAGTGTGTATTGATGTTTGTTAAATTATACCTGTAAATGGTTCTTTTCAAGTCAAAACAGTTGTAAAAATTGTGAAATTATTATTATTATTATTATTATTATTTTACCTTTTAATGGTATAAACTATCTCCATGATAATTAACAAACCATTCCTACATAATATATTAACCAGAACAATGTTATCTAAGCCCAAGTCGACTCTTGCACCTAAGAAATTCAAATACTATAGTACCATATTTATGAATGTTCTCAAAAGGATTTTAATTAAAACTAATATATAAAAGTAAAAATTAAAAATAAATAATTTCTTTCAACTTTTCTCCTACTGTCGGATTAGATTTTTTTTTTTTTTTTTTTGGTCCAAATGCAACTGGATTTGTCTAACTAATATTGAGAGAAAGTCATTAAAAAAAAATAATAATAATAATAAAGAAGAAGAAGAAGACGGTCTCACATAACCATTTCATTTTCCAAAGAATGAGTGTACACACAAATTTCGTAGTCTGCAAATAAAAAACAAAAAGGGAGTGAAAAAATAATTTATTAATTTATGAAAACTGATAAGTACAATCCTCTGAGATATTTTTTACAAAAGAAAGAAAATATCCTCTGAATCGATCTCATTTGTTGGTTGGATTCAAAGGCTGTTGGAGCATGATCTTGAATCGGGTTGTTTACAATCTTCTTCAAGTATTTTGTAGTTGAAAAAGATTGCCGATGATTTCTGATCGAGGGCTGATGAAACTTGATCTCGAACAGTGTTGTCTGGTGATTTGTCAAACTTGTTGAATCACGGAAAAAGAACGGCACGATTGTGATGTGCTTGTTGTTCTTTGTTGAATTTGAGGAAGAATGGTACGACTTTGGTTGTGCTTGTTGTTAATCACCGTGGAATGCTGATGAAGAACGGCACGATTTGATGTACTTCTTGTTGATCGCCATAGAATTTTGATGAAGAATGGCACGACTCACCTTCAGGTTTAGGTGTTGGGGATGAATGTCGACAGATTTTCTGGATTTCTAGAATCCTCCTCTTTGGATTTCTGGCCCTCTAGATTTATGAGTTTTTACATTTCTGGACCCGTTCCTTCTTCCTCCAGGTCTCTATTTATAGGCTTCTTGAATTAATAGGATGATGACACGTGTTCTCTCCTAATAAGGACAAAATTATAACTGGGCCGAGCTAATTATATTGTGATGATTATTTATAAAATAATTATTCCAAATATATTTTATTAGGAACAATTATCTTTTTATTTAATCATCTGGGCTGGGTTAATTAAATAATTTAAGTGGACCAAGTTTGGGCCAATTAAATAATTTAATTAAACATGAGACCCATATTTAATGGATCAATTTGTTTAAACAAAATTTCATAAAATTTTAATGTCTATAAATTGCTCCCACTTCGAGTCCCACGTTTGACCGGACTTGTCTCTTATTTCAAGTGGGACTTGAAGTATCCAACTTGTTTTTTTTTTTTTTTTTCTATCCAACTTTGGACTGTAAGACTTCCCTTTCCAATTTGAATTGAATTATACAAATCCTAATACAAATAGGAGGTATTTTGTTGCCTATATATACCACCAATGTTATATGGTTTACCATTAATTCTAATAACCTTTGAAGACTTATTAGTTTGCAGCCTCTGAAGACTTTTGGTATTTTTTTTTTTTTTTTTTGTCCTTTTCTGCTTCGTCTTTTTCTGCTTTGTCTTTTCTGATTTTTTTTTTTTAATCCATCATTCCTTTGGAATATATCTTCTCCATTGGAATATATCTTCACTTGTCCCACTAGATCCACTGTTTCGTTAGAACACATCTTTACTAGTCCCTGTAGGACCCATTTTTCCGTTGGAACGCATTTTTTATTCGTCCGTTCAGGACTTATTGTTCCGTTGGAACGCATCTTCATTTATCCTTTGAGGACCCATTGTTCCGTTGGAACACATCTTCATTTGTCCTTTGAGGACCCATTGTTCCGTTGGAACACATCTTCATTTGTCCTTTAAGGACCCATTGTTCCGTTAGAATACATCTTTTGTCTTTTCAGGACCCATCATTTTTTTGTTTGTCCCTTTGGACCAATGAGTTTCGCTGCAAATTTTATTTTATTTTTATTTTTATTTTATGCAGAGGAATCCACTTTGATAAAAGTCGAGTGAAGTGAATGGTGAAGGCAATCAAGTTCTGACCAAGATCCTAAATAAAGCAAACTTGACAAACCTTTCAACAAAACTCGATCAGAATCTTGACATGTTGCACAAGTATGCTTGTGCATCCGCCTTTGAGTACAAAACTCCACCAGAAATTGACTTTATGTTCTTGTGCATCTAGACATCACTCTCGAATGTGAAATTTGACTTAAAGTTAACAGCTTACGCAAGGGGGCTTAAACATAATCTTCATAAGAACTTGACTGTGTACAAGTGCACTTATGCATTAGTTTCGAAGACAAAGCTTGATTTGGAGTTGACGGCTTGCACTAGTGTAATGCTCTTTAAAGATGGAGCTTCACCTTATCTTGGCAAAGCCTTATGTAGTCCAAACTTGAGTTCGGTGTTGATTGGACTAAAATTTGAAGGTAATTTAAACTCATATC